CGCACGCGCCGCCCGCCCCGCCGTGGCGCCGTGACGTGGCGCGGCCTGCGGGGCAGCGGCCGCCCCGCCCGCCCACAGCGGCGGAACCGCACCTTTTTACCGAACTTCAAGCGTTATTTGTGACCTTAATCCTGTATTTCCTGCGGCCTGAAGACCTGCCCCTGCCTAGTAACTACGTGCTAAAGCCCCTCGCTGCCTCTCCTACCGCAGGTGTGCAGTCTGCACCAGAAACATAAAGCTGCAGTGGGATGTAATGCCTGAGATGTCATAGCGTTTTTTTCCCTTAATATTTTTTCCCTTATTTTATCCCTCTACTTGCAGCTGACAGCAACTACAGAACGCCCTGTGTGACAGGAATAAGACTTCATTAATGACTGAAAGCAATTGTGAAAAAAAACCATAAAAACAAGTAAGAAATGAAATATTCATTATCAATATAAAACCTAGATAATCTTTCAACAAATGGAAAAAATAAAAAAAAATGTTCAGGAAAAGAAAAAAAGAAGTGTAATTAAGTGCACTTAAATGTCACAATTATTCACAGACAGCATTTGTGCCATTAGCTGTATGTGTTCTGGGTGAATTTTCTCAAATGATAGTAAATGTATTGGCCAATGATGTGAAAATAACAGCAACAAAATAAAGTATATGGCAAATATATACTATTTTATTAATATGACAAAATGTGGAAAGGATACAGGCTTGCTTTTAAATATTTTTGATAAATATTCAATGATCCTTTTTATAATAGGCTTTCAGATAAAATGCCATATCCTCTGTGTTTAGATATGAACTGCATGAGTTACAGATATAATGTTTACCAAGAAGACAACAAAGACAGAGGATAACAATGAAAAGATGTTGGTATGTAAAGATAGAGGAGATATTGTAAACTATAAGATAGATTGAAAATATATGCAAAATAACTGTTTTTAATATAAGGACAAATGTCACAATTCATTATTGTCAGAAGGTGTTTTACCTTACTGTCATATTTCATTATGGCTTTCATAAGCTATATGAAATTATTTGCTTTTTTTTTTTTTTTTTTTTTTTTTTTTTTTTTTAAGAGTTCAAATTAGTCCAATGAAGCCCTATTACTTTATTCTTTGGTGCCCCAGAAAACGATACGTTCAAGTGCACTGCAGGGTTTGGGCTAGGGAATAAGGTATCTTGTGCAGATTGCAGGTGAAGGAAATATTTTGCAAAATCAGCTCTGGTCTATGCATAAAATTAGGATGAAAGAGTAAGTCAGGATGCTACAGACTCTTCCTCCTGCCAAGGTGGGACAGAGCCCAGGTGTTCTAGAAATAAGGATTTTGGTGTGCATTTTTTTTTATTGTTGTTCTGTTCTATACACACACACACAACATTTATTGGTGTCTGAATGACAAGCATAAAGCTTTGGTGTACAAACAGAAGTCTAAAATACTATTTAGTAATATGGTTATCAGTTTGATAACAAGTATATCCCACAGAGATGCAAAGGACCCTCTTGTGCTTTTTTTTTCTCCAAAAAATCWTTATGTGTAATAAAGCAATAGTTTCCTCTAAGTATTGTATACTCTTTCAAATCAAAGACTTATCTTCCTAATAGAATAAAGCTGTTGGTTATGAACAGAGGGTGCAGGAGAGTCTAGAGAGGAATATTTGCGCTGTTGTTCCCTCAGTAGAATGACCCGGAGCTTCTCTCCTCCCCGYCTCCATTTAGGCCGCAGCGTCCTGCGCTGTAATTGGCGGAATGACTAACGGGCACCGCGGGGAACACCTGCTCCCTCCCGTTCAAAAGTTAACGGTCATACTTTCAACAGCCGTCAGGTGGCAGCAGAAGGGTGAGCTCGCGTCAGCTGCCTGCGTGCCTGTCYTGTCAGGGCTCTGCCGAGTGAGTCCTAGCTCTGGATTCTGCTTTATATATAATCTTTAGGCCAGGGCTATGAGACACTTGAGTGGTGTATAAACATTTTAGTGGCATTGCATAAATAAATMTAATGACCTCTTGAAGTGCAGTGGGTACAAAAAATAACCATCCTGAGATGGGTCAACTAGAAAAGAAATAAGACTGTTGCTTCCTCAAAACCAGAGTGTAGGTTAGTGGCAAAGCCTGGAATAGGGCTGACTTCTTTGTTCTCATATCTGGTTTAGTTCTAAGCCATGTTTTCATCTGTCATGGATAGAAAACAAAATAAAARCAGTTTTAAAAGCTGTTAGTGTTTTGGCTCAAGGCAAAACCACCAACCAAGATCTATTTCTCTGTTAAAGGCTTGGAAAACCTACTTTTGGGATGCTTTCATAGTAGGATGTTCACATTTTAGGTGGCTGTCAAAATAAATTTCTCTTTCAAGGAAATAGAAGTGAATTTAATTCTAAATAAAGACTAACTTAGTCTGTGGATAATGTGCCTTCCTACTCACTGTCCTAGTATGAAGAGAGAGAGAGAAAAAAAAAAAAGTAAATCTTGAAAGGAGATGGATATTTTTGAGTAAGAAAAAAACATATTAAGCTTTAAAAAAAAAGTTGGGAAAATAAGCCATTTCAGCTGTGTTGCAAGCCTTAGGAATTAAGTCAAGAGGCTTGACTGAAGTAGCTTATCGCCTGTTTATGTCTTATTGAGCATGTATGAGTATTCAAGGTTTCAAGCACTAAATACTAACAAAGCAGCAAGGCTACATTGTCTTTTAGAATTTCTCTAAATAATGTTAGATATCAATTGTTAAAACCCTTATCCTGTGACTATTGAGAAGGTATTCTGGCTAAGTGAATATGGATCATATGAGCASTTTTAAACAAAATCTGGTTTTCAGAAGCTGACCAATTATCTATGTAGGTGGTTGAGTGTGTTTGTTTTTTGGCCACTATTCAAACTATTTCTAGGTCTTATTCCATACTGACTCATTGAACTTCAGATCTTCAGATACTCCTTCCATGATTATCCAACCGTTCTCACTAGGATGCCTAGTGTATCCTCTTCTCTTTGAGGAAAGCAGAAAAAAAAAACCAAACTTGAGAATTATTTGACGATTGTGCCTGAATTAGCTTTCATCATATCCCTAATGGAAGTTGCAGAGAGCTCTGTCTTTTCATTCTAAACAACCTTGAAGGTAACCTGAAAGAGCATGYATCAAGAAAAATTGCACCATAATCTTCTATATGGCAGCATGTTTGCAAATTATGAGTCCAAAGGCTCTTCCTACTATTTCAATGGGAGTTTCAAGTGCCCAAAGGACAGGTATTWGTTTCAAACAAACAACAGCATTCACTTCTTAGTACCAGGAAAATTTGAACAGTATCTTMAGGACTAGAGAAGCACAAATACATTTTCTGATTCAGGTGAAAGCCAAGCAGCGGTGTAGTATCTTTCCTAAATTAGGTAAATGCTGCAGGGAGAACATGATGACAGTGTTAAAGTTAATGATCCACTGCAACAGTATTTAAAACAGATTTGACACTAGCTTAATCATATTAATTGCTATATTAGACAAACTCAAGAACAATGAATACGTTGTCCCCAGAAGTCCTGAAGCAGGATCTCGTTCATTGCCTTAAGGATGCAGTAACATTCCTGATCTTCAGTTAACTGCAACTTTGAGACTACTTTGTCCTGCTACATCAGCCAACTGCGAATTACTAATCTGGGCAGTCCTCAAGTTATTATTAGTTTTTGTATTCTCTGACAAAAAATTCTCTGACTTCTAACAATGTAGTCTATCTCTCTCGACTGGCTTGAGTAGCCTAAAGAAAAAAGAAAAAGATGAGAAATATCTTTATCTTGCAGGGAAAGGAAGATAAGGTAACACTGAATTAAGTTAGAATACTATAAAATGGACTAACAGCATGGCAGACAGTGCTTATCTGATTTAGTGAATGATAATAAAAATATGTAGAACAGGATATTTGCCAGGGGCMTGTGAGTTGGATTCCCTATAACTTGGCTACCATCATAGCCAGCAGATATTTAAAGTAGGATCCTTGACAAAAAGAGAAGAAATAATTGAAATAAGATTTCCTGTGATACAAAGAAAACAGTTGGATTAAAATGTCCTCTTTTCATTAAAGAGAACCTGCCTAATTAAGTGACATGTCCTCTAATGAAACTGAAAATGTAGTTAATCAACAGAACTCTGAGAATAAAGATGATACTCAAGATTTTAATCAGCTCAAGGTTTACTTGGAAAAGAAATATAGCCTTATTTTATTTTCTTTGCTTTTCAGTTAGTTTGCTGATTTATATGGATATACTAGATTTAAAAAAAAAAAAAAAGGAAATCTGTATTTGGTCAGAACTGAGTGTGCATTTGGTAATAATTTTGTAGAAAAAAATCAATATAGCAGCTACAATATCTTTCAAATTCCAGCTTTTTATTTATTTTTAGGAAAGAAACTAAAAAAGCCTTCAAGCCTGTGTATTGCACTATTTACAGGCTCGAGGAACAAGGATAAGAAGTCTTTTGGTTATGTCCAAGGTCATAGAACTAAAGCAGGCCACAATTCTTCTGGATTTTTTATGCTTACGCTATCATATTATGCTTTCTTTTTTGCAAGCATTATCCCTTAAGGGAAAGAACCTGCTGTCAGCAACTGCACTGTTTTCTGCTAAGTCATTCCACCACCTTGCAAAGACATTTGAAAACATAAAAGTGATTTGCAGCAACATTTTACAACACAATGCTGCATCAGTTATCTGCCAGATTAGTGCAATACAGCAGTATGCAAAGAGTAGGAAAGGTCCTGCAAAACCATTAGCAAATCAAACTATAGCAGTGGTATAGAGTCACAGCATAGCCAGAGCCTGGACCCCTTTGTAATTTGGARTAGTAAAGCTTTCTGATGAAGCAATGAGTGAAACTTGAATGCTCCAGAGATCCCATGAAGGCTCTATCTGAAGAATTACAAATAAGAAAATATAAGCTCATTTTACAGTGCAAGTTATGAAACTACATCTGTAGAATATATATAGTAATTTCTTCAGAGAGGGGAACACCTTATACTGGCCAAGCAGACCATGCCCTAGTCCTAAAGAAAAAAAGTTGGTGGCTCAGAGGGCTTTCTTCTACCCTGCTTCTTTGTTTTGCCTTCTCTTGTTTCTGCTTGGCTCAACTAGTCTGTGTTTGTGTCGGTAGCTTTATGCAGGGGCCAGCCAGAGCTGAAGGCGTGAGCTGCTGAGCGGAGCACGGTTTGCAGACACCCATTGCTGCAGATGACACCTTGTAAAGGAGATCTAGGCTCCCCAAGCAGGTGTGGAAGTTCTAGGACGGTCAGCAAGAAGAAGGAT